GCAATGGAATGTAGTTGTAATCACTATAATTATATGGGAATACCATGTCGTCATATGATTTTTGTATTGAAAGAAGAGAGCATACTGGAACTTCCTGAAGGCCTAGTACGTCGAAGATGGTCAAAGAAGCCAAAGACACTAGAGAGCTTGGAGGAACCGGGCAGACTAGATGAATCGCAACTTTTCGCATTGAGGTTTGCCATGACTATCACTTTTAATTTTTTTTTTTAATATTGGTTCGAAGCTAGGTGAATATTAATTTTACTCACTTTGTATAAAATCTTGTGTCAATCAGGTATGGTACTATTCAACAACACAGCTTACAACTAATGTTAAAAGGGGCAAAATCTAGTGAGTGCTTCAAGATTGCTCGTGAGGGAATTCAATCATTATGTGAAAAGTTGGACATGGTGGACACTGGCAACGTGGACATACCCGGCATTAATAGACCGAAGGCAAATGAAATTTTGTTGGATCCATTACAAGTCAAAGCTAAAGGTTCGGGGGCTAAAAAATCTAAAAGGAAGAAAGGAGAACCACGACAGTGTAGCAATTGCGGTGAATGGCGCCACTATAGGACCCGATGCCCACATCCTGTTGGCTATGTGAAGCCAACCTCAAACGGTGATGCCCCGAATGAGGGTGTTTCGGAAGAGGGTGGCAGTGGCGATGACACCAATGTTGATCCTCCCACCACTCAAGATCAGTCGGAAACAGTAACGAAGAGAAGGCAAAAGCATTGCAGTAAGTGCGGTTCTACCAATCATAATGCAAGAACGTGTACTGGGTCTGGGCCATCCGATGATGAAAATGACGATGACGACGATTATGAGCAACCTAGGGTAAGAATAAGATATAATTGTTCGTGTCTACACAATGCAGTTGCATCCAATATTTTTGTACGTCTAAAATCGTCGTTATCGATTTTGCAGAAGAGGCCTGTTACAAGAAGTAGCAAACTAAGGATTGTTGAAAACTTGAAGTGAAGATGGACGTCTTTATCCTATTCGGATTAGGAACTAATGGACTATGTGAAGACTGCCAGTATCAGCTTGAAGCGGCGTCGTTTGATTTATAAGAAGACTGTTGCCGTCTGCGGAGTCGTTTTACTTGTGTGTCGTTTTATTTATGTGTCTCTTTGGTTTATAAGAAGACTACTGCCTTCTACGGTGTCGTTTTATTTAGTTCGGATGGATTTGATTGAATTCGATATGGAGGTTGCTCCCTAAATAAATCATGTGCAACATTTCAGTTGAATTATTTTTCTCACTCGTTTTTTTTATTGAATTATTAAGATCGGATTTTTTACTTGTTTATAAAATTACTTAATTTTGGCTACTAAAATTATGAAATGTAATTTAGGGCGTGAAATGACAAGAGCATGCGCCGACAGAGGACTTCTGAAAATGGAGGCAGTAATCAAGAAATAAACTACAGTATTTTTATTGAGTGAAAGATCCCTCACCGATATATTATTAAGATCTCAAACACTAAAAGTACAAATCTTGAAAAACAAAACAATGTACTTTCCCTCCTCCCACTTTTATACTATACATATGGCAACTTTCCCCTCTTGTATATATTTTGGGAGCATGATCAACAAGTACGCGTCAATGTCGCCCAGAAGAACCATCATATGACGTAGGGTTCCACAACACCTATTATGGAATCGTAACAACATATGATGATTCTTTGGGCGATATTCAGACGGCGACTTATTGTTATTGCTCCCCTCCCTGCCTCTAACAAAGACCCTGCATGGAGAGAAAAGGAGAAACAATACAACGAAGGATTTAGTTTAACAGTCATGATCTAACAATGACATAATTAAAGGAACTGAGATCTAAAATAATACGCAGTCTCATCTTTACCACTGCACCCGAAAATAAAGCATGGACAGGAGGACGAAGAGGCGGATGGGGTTGATTTTCGGGGTTGAGAAGATGGGAGAAAGGGGTCTTTTCAGGGATTGAGAGGAGGAACGGAAAACAGCAGGAGATGAGGGCCTCTTGGGTTTCGGAGCATGGTCTCTCCCTCTCTGATTAAAGAATTTATAAATGAGCTCATAAATTTACTTTGCCTTTCCAGCCCTTCCCATTTACTGAAAATCACACTCCCTACCGCTGCCTCGGCCTTGGTAACGTCAGCACTGGTTAGGGGCAAATGCGACTTTCCGAAAACGGCGATATCTGATTGGGTGACACGCCGCGGTTAGGATTGAAGCTCTTTCACCATCGGATTAAACGAAAATTTAGGAATTGACTGCGGGAGATGGGGATGTGCTTTTAGACTGGCTTTGTAGATTAACTAACTTTTTTGTTTACCAAAATTAATCTACAGATTTGGTACATGTAATTGTAACCCTAAACCCTAAACCCTAAACCCTAAACCAAACCCTAATACACGAACCAATCAATACCATATACTCTACAACAATAACAACACCTTATAGGCTTATACCGTAACCAATCAATAACATATATACTTTAAACCATCAACACCTTGCTCCTCCCTTATACCATAACCTTCAAGACCTTATACTGTATACCAACAACACCTTCTTCTATCTTCATCCCCAACTTTCAATTTATAATAAGTGTTTCCTTTGAAATATAAAATGGAACCCACCTTGGCAATTGCTAGCATAATTTAGGGATGTAGATGAATAGAAATTGTTAAGTGATGAATTGCTAAAATTGATGATGTGGCGGTAGGGACCTCGTTTAGAAATTGTTGTTCAATTTTAGGGATGAAGATGATCAATACACTAACCCAATACCATGTACTCTAAACCATCAACACCTTATACAATATCGTATACCTATACGCTGATAAATTAAAATTATAACTTGCTTTTCAAAACATAAATTAAAAATTGATACTCACTAAGTATCGAACCACAAACCTCTACTTTATTGACTAAGCAAATAAGAGACAATTAACCAATTAAGCTACATCACATTGATGACCATCTTGCATAATTTCGCTTTCTTATTAAGTGAAGGGTTAAAGTGAACGATAAATATATCACAGGGGATTGTTTCAACTTCGGCGGGGACTGAGAGAGTGGAAAAGGGGTAATTATTCTACCAAAAAAGAAAAGAAAAGGGGGAATTAATGAAGAGTTAAATTGGACGGATTGTCTTTACCACGCCACTACAAAATCATTCGGAGCAAAAACACGCAGGTTCAAATCAAACAATAAATGATCAGCATTTATAAGCAGATATAAAGAATTATGTCTAAGTACTGATAAATGTGTCACGCTACAATAATTATGTCTAAGTTTTTTTAGTAATAAGGCATGATCAGCATTTATAAGCAGATATAAAGAAAATATAAAATCGAGAAAAAATAAGACAATACCTACCCTCACCCTTTAACCAATCGATACCATATGCTCTAAACCATCAACACCTTATAACCTACCCATATACCATATACTCTATACCATCAACAACCTAATACCCTAAGCAGTCAGTACCCATTTCCTTTAACATCAACACCTTATACAACAATCGTATACCTATACGCTGATAAAATTTTACATTTTGAAAATACTTGCCCAACTAAAGTACATAGGTACTTCAAAAGTGAAATTCTAACTTTCGTTTCAAAACATAAATTAAAAAAATATCCTCACTCAGTATCCAACCACAAGCCTCTAATTAGTCTACAAGAGGTTTGTTATGTACGAGTGCATTGCATAAAGAGGGGAAATCGGTGAGAGAGTGGAATGGGATCACAATTAATGAAGAGTTAAATTGGGCGGATTGTAGCTTACCTCGTACCGCTAAATGTGTAAAGAGACACGCCAGCATTTACCAAATCCCAAAAAAGATGGAACACAGAATTATGTTTAAATTGCGTGAACTCAATGAATGATCAGGATTTTAGAAGCAGAAGCAGATGAAAATAAGTAAAACAAAGAATCACCGTAAATAAAAGCCCAACCTCTTCACAATCCGGATCATGTACACAAGCCCACTTTTGAAGGGAATTTAAAAGCCCAACTAGACTTTGTCCTAAACGCACCGTTAATACATAAACACAAGTTAAGGCGACCTCTCCATCCGATTCGAATCAAATCCTGTCTTCTTCATCTTCTTCCTCAATTAGGTCGAAGACTGTGTTGCTTATTTCATCTTCAATTTGTGTAAATTCCGGTCGGAAATATAATGGCGAAGAACAAAAAGTCGATTGTGGATACAAGGAACGATGATTATGTGGAGATTTTTGATTCCGGTCGGAAATAAATGGCGAAGAACAAAACGTCGATTGTGGATACAAGGATTTGTGGTTCAAAATGATGATTATGTGGGGATTTTAGATTGAAAAGGGATCTTCTCTTCGAACGTGGATACATAGATTTAGGGTTCAAAACATGATGATGTTGGGGATTTGATATTGGATTGGGAGCTAAATCGAATGTCGATCAAATTATAAAAAGGATTTCAGATTTCAGAAACGATGATAAAAGGATTATGTTCGAACTTCGAACTAAGAGGGGACATCCCCTCCAAGATGAATGAGGGACTAGAAATTGGTTAGGGCGGCGGGTCGTATCCATAGGGTTTAACCTCTTAATCGATATAATTAAACCGAGTACAGTTAGGTTGAAGTCCAATGAAAAACGCTTAAACGCTTCGTGATGCTTTTGGTAATTTTCCTTCCCCTGGTTACCCGTACCCCGTATTTTGCCCTGGGAACCGTAGAATTGCCCATATATATATATATATATATATATTTATAACGACATACCTCACAACCTAGATAGAACCCCTCCCCTCAGACAAACAAAAAACCACAGACGAAAAGCTTAAGTCTGATTGCACAAAGTAATTAATTTTCTCTTGGTTCCTTTCCTTTTCATGTATTAGTTGTGTTTAAATTGTCCCTGTAACAATGTGAATGTTGTTTCTTCTAGATGGGAAGGCCAAAAAAGGATGGGAAGACAAAGCCTTCCAAAAGGCCAGTGGAGGAACCAGAAAGGTTAGCCCCTGTAGAGAATGTCAAAGTGGTTACTCAGGAAAGTGAAACCATGCCAGTAACTCAGCAGGCAGAAAGGGAGGGTGAACAACAAGTGAATGGGAACAAAGCCAATCATGAGAAGTTTGAGATCACTGCTACTAGCGGATCTGTTCCCATGGCGAAGTTTAGGCTTGATCAGGTAAAACACGATATGTTCTCTTGTATTTAATAAGAACGAAGCTAATTATGAGAAGTGTGAGCTCAATGCTCCTGTTTTTTTTCTTGTGTTTGCAGATCAAGAAGACTGGAAAAGAACCAGATCCTATAGAGACATTCAAGAAGTTCCATGTTAAGAAGGCCAATGGTGAATTCACCACCCCAAAAGCTCAGACCATACATGTAAGTACATTGCTTTTTAAGTAATTTTAGCTTTCTTCTGCGTTTTTAAAATTATTTAAACTCAGCGTATTAGTTATTAAATACTATGTGTGTAGGCTGAATTGAAGAATAAGGAAGCTGAGAAGTTGACTCAAGGGGAAGAGGTGAACCAGTTTGCGATTTATGGTGAGGTTGTAAGAAAACAGTCTAGGAAACGTGTGCTGGGAATGGGTTATGGGGTAAGTGGTGTGGATGTGTTTGGCCCTACCTCCGGTCAGGGCTGCAGCAAAAGGTGCAAAGAGGACCGAAGGCAAGAGAAGGTGAAGAATGATGAGATGATAAGCATGCTGAAAGAAGAGCTAGTGCAGGTGAAGAGTAGAATTCCTCAGATTGTTGAGGACACCTTGAAGAGGCTAGGAGTTACTTTGGTAGAGTCCTCAATGGTAAGTGTTTGTTGCTGTTTTTTAGTTGGTTGAGCATGATTAATGGTATGAACCTTAGTTGGTTGATCTATTTAACTTTGTAATTTAGGCTGGAGACAAGGGGGTGAATGATGAAGATGAAGATTGAGACGAGGAAGTGAATGATGAAGATGCGGACGGTATTGACGATGAGAACAGCTCCCCCTGATGATGATGATTACTAAGTTTACAGCGCTAGGAAGAAGGCAACAGTAGGAACTTTGCAAGTTCCAATTTTCAATCGGAAGTTTGCAGCTAGGAAGAAGGCAGTCTTAGGAACTTTGCAAGTTCCATTTTTCAATCGGATTATGTTTATGTTATGTTATGTTTTGTTAAGTGTTTGGTTGTTTTGTTATATGTTTGAACAAGTGTTGAAGAAGTTTTGGTGGTTATGCCACCTAATTATATGGAGAAGTTTCCTTTTTTACTAATATATTGCATTGGTTAATTTCTTTTATGCTTTTAATAAATTACCTGCAAAATAAAATTGTAGTTTTAACGATATAATTTGGTTACAGTAGCACGAAATTCGGTTAGAATTGCCGAGTTGCTTCCCACGAATATTTTGTGTTGCAAATATTCTATTTGTAATGCAACAAAATGGTTAGCTTTAGTAAGTCGTTTCCGATGAATATTTTGTGTTACAAATATTCTTTTTTAACACAACAATTTGGTTAGATTTAATATGTTTCTTTCGACGAATATTATATGTTAAAAATATTCTTTTTTTAACACACCAATTTGGTTAGATTTAATATGTTTCTTCCGAAGAATATTTTGTGTAACAAATATCTTATTTTTAACGCAACAATCTGGTTACATGGACACAAAATTTGGTCTAAATTAATTAGTTTCTCCCTACGAAACTTTTGCGTCACAAATATTCGATATTTTCTTCTGATCTTATTTTCTCGTTGGAAACTAAATTTACAATTATTACGAATAGTTTTTCGTGACGCAAGATATTCATTATAAATACCACAGGGGTGTTTTAGGAACATAATTAACCCTCGAAAAAAATGTTCTTTTACGACAAACAACTGTGGTCAAAACGTATAAAGGGTATTTTCGGGGAAAAATGTCATCTTTTTATTAACGAATTTTTTCTTTACTAACAAACACGTTTTCCTCAATTATAGTTTATCTAACAAAATGTACTCCTCACAAAAAATATTTCATCCCTTAAAAATAGAGTTGGTCAAACAATTTCGTTAAGTACATTTCTTTTCTGATCACGATATTCTGCATAATGATAAAAAAAATATTTGTCACAAATGTACGATTTTCTGACGCAAGTACATCTAAACTATTAGCAAGGGACTTTTACCCCACAACTCACCAACGACCGTATTTCGTCAAAATAACCCTATTGTGACGAGAAAAGGCCTTTTGTGACGCCAATCGTCTGGTAACATCTGCCAGTCTTTTTTGTAGTGTGGAGATCATCCCTACCAAAGTTACCATGATCCTCATTCCTATTTTCAGTACCAAGAGCAAGGTGAAGGTCATCATCAATCTTTCCCGTCATATGAAGAAGAAGTTCATCCGGACCATGCCAACCAACCCCACTAAAACTTCCAATCAGGCAGCGGTAGTTTTCAAAACTACCATTATGGAGCTGATGAAGGTGCATTCCATGAGCTGGATCAGATGGAAGATGCCCTGCCAGCACCAATTACTGACCCCTCCGATGAAGAAGGAGAGAACAACGTCAGTGTAGACAGCTCCGACCCTCTTGAAGGTGCTGATGATTCAGGACCAGAGTCAGACTTAGATAATGACGATGAGGTGGCTCATGATCGTGTACCAGTCCCCAACTACAATCACATTCTAGACGACAATTGGATGGTTGACAACGACATGGAATCCCCAGAGGTTCCAGTATGGGGTTCACTCACTAGGTTTATGAAGGGCCAACAATTTGGCTCGAAGAAGGAGGTGCGGCACGCCATTGATACTGAAGCAATGACTCGGCATTTTGAATGGCACACAACTCATTCCAACATGAAGGCTCATAGTCAGATGTCGTAATCATAACGAGGGATGCAATGTTAGGATTCGGGCCATCAACAGCAAGAGACACGACCATTGGGTCATATCTCGTGCGGTGAACACACACACATGTGTGTCATCCATAAAATCCCAAGGCCATCGACAGTTGAAATCCAGGGTGGTTGCTGCGGCTATCAAGCATTTAATTGAGCAAAATCCTGACCTGAAGTTGAAAGTCATAATCGTTGACATTGCAAGTCGTTATGGTTATATGATTAACTATAAGAAGGAGTGGCATGGAAAGGAGAAAGCTCTGGCCGCCGTATTTGGTGATTGGGAAGAATCATATGCATTCCTTCCCATGTTGATTTGGCATTGGAGGCGTCTAACCCTGACACTGTTTTCTCCCCGCGATACCAAGATGAAGAGATACAACCGCCAGAGCCAGGTAACAAACGCCATTTCATACGAATTTTTTGGGCATTCAAGCCATCTATTGATGGTTTTGGCTTCTGTGTCCCTGTGATCCAAGTGGATGGTACATTCCTTACCGGCAAGTACAAGGGCACTCTACTGATTGCCAGTGGGGAGGATGCAAACAAACAAGTCTTTCCTTTAACCTTCGCCATTGTTGAGGGAGAGAATACTGATAGTTGTGGATGGTTTTTTCGGCAAATTCAGCTCCACGTCACTAGGAGGACGAACCTGACAATAATCTCTGATCGGCACGCCGGGATTAGAGCTGCCATATTAGGTTTGGATCCAGCCTGGAAGTGGTGCCAAAGGTGGTGCATACGACACTTCAAGAGCAACTGGAACCATCATTTCAAGCGGAAGAAGCTTACTGATAATTTGTGGTGGATTGGTAAGCTCTCTATTGGTTGTTTAATTTTTTCAAATAACAATATCTTATATCAAATAAATGGTACACTTGTTATACTCTTTCTAAAGAGATGCATGCCTAAGGAAATGGGGTTTTAAGCGATTATCATGGTCCTCCCATTTCCTGGAAAAATTGGGTTTTAAGCGATCCTCGGATCCCCCCTTTTTCTGTCAACCAGGTTGTGTTTCTAAGTCAATCATATTAATGGTTAGTTAAGTGTCATGTAGGGTATTAGGGTTTTCAACTCCAAGTCGACTTGCCTTCCCAGAGCCTAATAAAATAGGCAATTAATTTAATTACTATTCGGTTCGGTCCTTAGCTTGATTTTACGATTTTGATCTGGACCGAACCAACACCAAAAATATTGCAAATTCAGGAACCAAAGTCGAATCGAAATATAAACCGTTCGACCCGATTCGGTGTGAGAGTCGATTCGGTCTAATGTGAATCGAATCGTTGCCCACCCCTAGTCGAGGTTGTAACCGAAGTCGACTTCCTCAATGTTGATCCCCGAAGCGATTTGAAGTGCCCCTTTATAGTAACCTTATTTCGTGATGTTGCCTCCGACCGCTTCCTGCAAAAAATAGACCACACCTACAACCAGTGACTCTCGCCCTCCGACGCTCAAGTCAGTTCCAAGAGTGGGGGATTGAGTAGTTTACAAGGTTTTTGAAGGAGGTGAGCTCGGGGGTGAGAGTCACTAATTGCAGTGGGCGCTTTCAGGGTACTTACCCCGGTCTCTTGCCTTACATTTCACTAGAGAGAATGAGCTAGTTATATAGTAACTATCAGGGGGACAACGGGATAACAGGTGTCGGCGCTGGAGATGAAGGAAAGACATGTCACTGAACATGTGTCGTCTAGGCCAATCTGCTCCCGCCACGTGGTTGTACACATGTCAACCATGCTTCTGCCTAAGGGGAACACTCTTGCCACATGCAAACTAATTGAGTAGAGGGCATGATACATGTGCAGGTAATACACATGCAATGGATCCAGGTGGGGAGAATAGATGCGGATCTAGGTACTGGGAGCAGGGGGCGACCGCGAGCCGGGTGCTGGGAGGAGTGGGTGACAGCGGGCTTGGGCGCCAGGAGGCGGGAGGATCCCGGAAGCAGTATCTGGCCCGAGCGCCGAGCAAAGGACGAGAGGCGAAGGCCCATCACCAGGAGCCGAGGCAATGGTGGACCCGGGTGCCGGGAAAAGGGCGGAGCCCGGGAGCCGGGGTCCGGGAACGATCACGGGCCAGGGCGCGGGGAACCGGACGAAAGGTGAAGGCCCGCCGCAGGGAGCCGGGGCAATGGTGTGCCCGGTTGCGGGGAGGAGGGGGGAGCCCGAGAGCCGGGGTCCGGGGTCCGGGAACGATAACGGGCAAGGGCGTCGGGAACCAGGCGAGAGGTGAAGGCCCGCCGCCGGGAGCCGCGACAATGGTGGGCCCAAGTGCCGGGAGGAGGGCGGAGCCAGTGTCCGGCAACGATAACGCGCCCAGGCGCCGAACGAGTGGTGAAGGCCCGCCGTCGGGAGCCGGGGTCCGGGAACGATAACGGGCCCGGGCGTCAGGAACCGGACGAGATGTGAAGGCCCACCGCCAGGAGCCGGGGCAATGTTGGGCCCGGGTGCCGAGAGGAGGGTGGAGCTCGAGAGGCGAGCTCGGAGGTAGGAACCCTAATCTTGGGGCAATCGCGAGGCACTATATGATTTAGTGTTGGCGGGCCATGGCACAATTGGGTACTAATTTGAGCTGGACGGTCCTGACCCAACACTTCACCGAAGAGAGTCGTGGGCTGAGCACGATTGTCGGCCCAAGTGCAATAATGCACTATTTGAGCATATGGTGAGCTGGTGCTGTAAAAATATTTTTACATTGGGTATATCAATTGCCCCCCTTGCCGGCGAGAATCTCAAGATTCTCGCGGCAAGCATGGTCTACCCCGTGATTAATACCCAAATTTAATCTTGGGAGTTTATTAGAAGACTACATATCTTTTATATATTTTTATTCATTGAATGTTGGTGAAGATTGTTTGGGAAGTGCACAAGTCTTGGATTTGGGGAGAGAATTTTCCCTCCATATTACTTTGGCCTTCATTCTTCTTGATTCCCATGAACAGAATAGAAGACTGTGCATTTTTCTTGAATTTTGGTCAAAGTCCGTTTGAAAAATGCACAAACCCTTGGACTTTTTAGAAGAGAAAGTGTTCTCTTCCATGCTTTCCTCTTCTTTATCCTCCTATAAATAGCATCTTCCTTTCTTCTTCATTCTGCACTTCATTCTTCTCCCAAGTGCTCACTTTCATTGAGAGAAAACTTGTTAGTTAACGGCGGTGGCAAGGCGAGGGTTAGCTCAGAAGCTGTTGGATACTTGATCGCTTCAGGTATGACATCTTTCCCCCTCCCCCCAGCACTATGTAGTATGTTTGCATGTGGGAGGTAGGAGTACTTAGTTTTTTTTCTTTTTGTTTCTTCTCCGTCTCATTTA